ATTCAACCTGTTCATTAACGATATCGGGGAGGGCGTAAATAGTCATGTTTCGGTACTTGCTGATGACACTAAAATTGGGAGGGTAATAGACACGGACTTAGGTCAGGGGCGTAAACTGACTGCTGTGTCCACTGTCCGTGTGCATTGACTTACATTGTGCCTCTCTTCTCCCGGCCGAAGATCTCTACTGAGCATGCGCCCGCCTCATCATCCTTTCCGGCTACCCTGAGACACAGGTAAGTTTTAACCTTTGTTACTTTTGCTTTGTAATGTTTTTGCATATATCTACTGCTTGCCGGCTGATTTATATATACACACCGCTTGCTAGCAGTAGATATACAAAAAAACGCGAGGTTTAAATTGTCCTTTAAGGGGACGTTTCACTTTCCTCTGACTAGCCATGGGGGGGGGGCGCCCAAATCTAGTCTTGCCTAGGGCAGCACAAAACCTAAATACACCACTGACTTAGGTACTATAACATTGCAGGAGGACCTGGATAAAATTGGTGCGTGGGCAACTATATGGCAGATGAGGTTTAATGTTGAAAAATGTAAAGTAATTCATTTTGGGGTTAAAAACAGGCAAGCGGAATACACATTAATGGGTACTCCACTAGGAAGTCAAAAATGGAAAAAGATCTGGGGGTCATAGTAGACCACAGATTGAACAATAGTAGCAATGCCAGGCTGCAGCAAACAAAGCGAGCAGAGTACTGTCCAGTATTAAAAAGGGAATGTACTGTAGAGACAAAGCAATAATTTTGCTACTTTATAGATCACTGGTTCGGCCTCATCTGGAGAATGCGGTCCAGTTTTGGTCACCAGTCCACAGAAAAGATGTCCTTGAACTGGAGAGAGTCCAGAGAAGGGCAACTAAACTAAATTAGGTAGACCAGGTTACCAAATTTAAACTTGTTCACGCTGGAAGTGAGGAGATTAAGAGGGGACATGATTTTGATGTACAAAATGTTTAGTGGCGATAGCAACATAAGCAATAAACTGTTTACGGTAAACTCCATAACAAGGACAAGTGGTCAATCTTTGACAAATCCGCAAACATTGCACTATACTCCATAATTTACGGTGTACACAGACAAGCCATTGACATATGTCTTGAGTACCGCCAAAATAAATGCTGTGGGCCATCGAGTTGGCCGATTTCTACCTTCAAATGTTAGGCCATGTAAACAGAACTCGGACGCATATGCACTTTCAAGATATCCTGATAGATTACACTTAGGCTGTGTCGTCTAAGGTTGTGTCAGCTATGTGGCAAGGAAGGAAAACCGTCGTTGAAGTACCATGAGTGGCTTTACCAATTCTCTGCTCAGTAAGTGATGTGGAAAAAGAAATTCTGAAAGGGCAGATGGTATCCCCAATGATTTGGGAGGATATCAGAGCTTTACAACAGGATGATATCAATATAGAGAAAGTGGTCAAGCTCAAGGAAAGCAACTGGACCCCAAACAAAGAAAAGAAGGGCATGACCAGAGAAACCAGGTATCTGATTCATGAATGCAACAAGCTTATAATTGAGGAATGAATTCTGTACCGGCATACTGGAAATCGGAAACAACTAATACTACGAGAAAGACTGAAACCATAGGTTTTGAAAAAAATCCATGATAACATGGGTCACATTGATAATCCATTTAGCACATGACCAATTTGACTTGCCATTTATGCAAAAGGAAATTGAGAAATATGTGCTCAAGAAGTGCAACTGTATTAAACAAAAGCGTCTGAACATTCCTGAAAGAGCACCTATGGGTTCGATCACCACAAGTTCACCCTTTGAGTTGGTGTCCATCAATTATCTTCACTTGGAGCAAAGCAAAAGAGGATATGAGTACATACTCGTACTGGTTGAGCATTTCACATGCTTCGCACAAGCATCAGGGAAAACGGCGACACAGAAGTTCTTTCAGGCTTTCATACCACGCTTTGCATATCCAGGGAAACTATCACAATCAAGGACGAGAATTCAAGAATAACCTGTTCCAGACACTAACGATCGGTAGGGATTTCTCATTTAAAAGGACATCCATGGGGTAATCCAGTTGAGAGACTGAACCGTACCTTGTTGCAGATGCTTTGCACTCTGGAGGAAGAGAAAAAGGTCTGACTGGAAAGACCATCTTCCACATCTGGTTCATGCGCACAATTGTACCAGACATGAAGCCACTGGATACTAACCACCAACTACTATAAAGATCTCCCCAGTTACAACTGACCCGATACTTAACCTAAAATCAGAAAAAGAGAGTCACCAGGTCAACTGACGATTGCTCAGAAGTGGGCATCCAGCATGCAAGAAGCTTACAAAATCACATCTGAAATTTGCCAAAAATCATCTGCTAAAGGGAAGAAGTACTATGATAGAAAAGTGAAAGCAGTACCTCTTCAACCTGGTGATCGGGTGTCAAAGTAAAACGGATATGTGGGGATTTCAGGTGATCTAGTAATAAATAGGTGGGTGTCAGGTTTAGCTCCTTTGACAAATTGTCTCTAAGATTTATAGAATTCTTATTCTTCACCTGTTAGTGGCCAAAATATATGAAGTGAAGATGGTACAGCTGGTATATTGCAAGGAAAACACTCGTCATTAGTTCTGTGTAACTGAATCAAATAATCAGGAGCATTCACAAAGACTGGTGCTAAGATTTACCAAGAACATCTCTATGACAAATGGAATAGTCCCAAATTTACGTACATGGTACAGACAATTCTCTGTGAATCTGTCCGAAACTGACACAATCAGTCAAAAGGTAAAATAGTCCTTTGACATAACTGGTTTACAATTTTGTTTTGTTGAGAGAAGCTAATTCTAATAAAAAAAATAACTTTTGAAAAATGTAGAACATCAATAAACATGTTTTCATAATGTGTTTTAGGAACAAAATAAGTGAAGTGTTAATAAAAGGCAATCTGTACATATTTAGCTGTCAAATGTTAGACCCTTTCCCTGCCACCGACATAAGGCATATGGCAGCACACAACTGTTTCCAGCTGGCCAGCTCAGTATGGCCTACGTCGGTCGTTTTCACCCTCCTGTTATAAGTGACCATGAACTTATAACAGAAGGGTCCCCTGTAAATAAATAGCTGTAACTAAATAGTGGCCGAGCATACATTTTATTTGAAGTTTTATGTCTACTTTCCTTATGTGAGTAGTTTTTTTTTTAAATAGAAGGAGGTTTTTAAATTTTGCGGTTTTACGCTACGGGTTGTTTTTACATTTTATTGGATATGGTCGTGATGACACGCTGGCGTCATTTTCTGTGCAACGATTGTGGTGAGACGGCCTTTGAATAAGATCGATTGGAGACCCATTAAAGCGATTCTAGACCTGTTCAGGTCTATTTATAAGGTGAGCGGCCCACTGAGAGGGGAAGCACCTGGGTGATAATTAGAGTTGATGTATGGACTTTGTACAAAGAACTTTCACAGTGGAAGGATAAAGAGTGTGGTGCACTTGGGACAAATGATTCCACATTTGTGTATATTTGAACACAAAATATATGATTGAACTTTTCAGAGGACTATTATTTGTAAGATTCATTGTGAACACTTTTTTGATTGCATGTATTATTTAAGCACATATTATAGAGATTTATGTATTGTTCTAGATGAAGCGCAGCACATTCATTATCATTTAAATAAAATAGCTGATGAAAGCTATTCACTACAAAAACCTCTATGTTTAGGTCTTATTAGACTCCAGTTTCTTAATAAGCATCTGAACAGCTTTCTGAATGTGACTTTCAGCTGGGAAGGATAACAGGAAAACGTGTGAATATGAATTTGCTTTGTGTGGTGCAAGACACAAGAAAACAAATCTTAAAAAGGAGAACTATGAGGCGAGTGAAAATCACTAATGCTCATAGTTCTAGCCGACCTGTGACAATGAAACTGTCACACGTCGGCTCAATGGATCGGGAAGTGAGCGAACACATACCGTCGCTCGCATCTCGATCTATCCCTGCAGAGAGCCGTGACTGTCACTCACGGCTCCAAGCAGGGATTCCCCCCCCCCCTGTCCGATCCTCCAGTGCTGACTGGCGGGGGAGGGCACAGCTGGCTCTGCCTCTAGATAGGCAGAGCTAGCTGTCACTCACGCAGCTGAGTGGATCTCGCCAGTAATGTCGGCATCCGTCCCGGCCTCAGCGTCTCAGTATACCGCGAGCTGTAGCTCGCGGTATACTGAGCTTAGGGTGACAGGAGCACTATAGGGAAAAGCCCTGAACCCATAGTTCTCCTTTAAATATCCTTTTCTCCTTTTCATGAATTAGGTGCAAAGGTAACACATAGCTGAATAACTTCAGATTTCTAGGGTAAAAAGAGATTTTATAATTTCCCTGTATACTGTGAGGAGGATTTATCAAAACTGGAGCAGCTGTGCATGGCAACCAATCAGCTTCTCTTTTCAGTTTGCTCAGTTAAGATTTGAAAATGAGAAAGAGGCGCTGATTGGTTGCCCTGCACAACTGCTCCAGATTTTGCCTGCTCCAGTTGTGATAAATTCCCTTCTGTATCTTTTGCAATTCCTCATTAGTTCTGGGTTTCGGAAGCAAAAAACATTCTAGCTACTACAAACAGTGTGTTGGTAACATTAATGAAACCGACCCATTTATTGTGTATGGCTTAAAGTAACATTATAAAACCTTAATACAGAATAAAACAAGCTCTCTTTACATCTCAGTACAGCTATGTTACACTATTACATACATTTATTGTACAACAATCCCTTTTCCCTTTCTGTTATAGGGGAGGAATTTATTTCTCTGGGGGGGAAGAGTTTGCATAGAAAGGATATGTTAATTATTCTTTGTACAGTTGCAGTGTTTAAGTACAATTATAACGGACATTGCCGCAATGCACAAATTACTCAATCAAGTCCAGGAGAGTGCCAGTGTAAAAATATTGTGCAGGCCATTATGGCACTGCTAAGACACTTTCCTTTTCTTGGGTTCCTGGTCTTTGCCACTACGATAGTCCCGATCTAGGCCTTCATTTCGTGGTTGGCCTGACCATGGATGTCCGCCTGAAGGCTGTGAAGGTCGTTTGACCCCTGCAACTGAGGATGAAGGAAAATGCTGATAAGAGTGGCCTTGGGAACGGTTTGTATCTGAACTCTGTTGCAGACCAGATGATGTTGCGTTATTACTTCTTGTGTCTTCACGCCGGCGTGCCAGTCTGGGATCCCGCAAATTTCCACTTGATGCTAAAGGAATGGCAGGGGGCCCCATATTGCTGGATACGTTCCTTTCTGATACCTGGGGTACTAACGAAGATCTGTTGTATACCCTGCCAACATCGACAGCTGGGTGTGCTATAGTCCTCTTGTGAGGTGGGCCTCCAGACACTGGTGGATTATTATTGCCTCTTTCTGGTGCTTCCAATGGAGGCGTGTAGGGTGAACCACCTTTGTGTACTTCTACAGGTTTAGTGGGAGGATAAGAAGCAGTCCTCTGTATTACAGGGTTCAACTTCAGTATTCTGTTCACATCTCTCTGGTAATGTTCTTGCTTTGTTTTAACAAGAGCTCCTCTGCGCTGTGCATCCTGGATTAACTGGTTCCAGTCCTTGTTTTCCTGTAACCGAAAACAAAGATCAGGGTAGAAATGTAATTCATTCAAAAAATAAACCCCTTCCTGTTCCATTGACAGCCAGCAGACACTTTTCACAGCTGGTTGCTCTCAATCCAGACCGTCACAGAAAGCTTGGGACCCCACAGACAGCCAGGAACCAATCAGAGTGGGTCCAGATCATGTGATCACTATTGTCAGCCATGGCACAGTAACCACATGCAGGCTAGAGGCTTCAATGACAAATTTAGCCTCCAACCTGCAGATTAGAACAAACAAAAAAATAGGTGGAGCATTTTTTTGTTTTCTTTACATTATTCGTCTATAGTAAAAAAAAAAAAAAAGCCTTAGATGTCCTAAAAAAATAAAAAGGTATGCAAAGCCAGTGGCCAGGAAAAAAGGTAGCTGGGGGTCTGATATACTGCCCCCTTCACTCTAGTTTTGGGTCAATAAATAAAACCAGTAGTAAGGGAGTGTTAAGGATTACAATCTCACATCTTTGAGATAAGAGTAATGATGGCAGATAACCCTGACCCAATCTAAAGATCTTTAGAAAGTGGAGCTCTACTTTAACCAAATACACAAGGCACACAATGCTATACATCAAAACATTTCATGGCCCCTCTTTCAGGTTAACAAACTAGTAGACACTTACTATCAGTGTTCGGAGGCTCCCTAAGATGAACAGGCTGAATTTGGCTCTTGTGATAGTAACATTCAAACGTTGTCTACTGGCTAAAAATCTGTAAGTAGAGCAGATTAAAAGTCACAATGGCACAAAATGAATGAAGATATCGTTGAAGATTTACCAAGCAAAGTCTTCATTTACATAGAAAAAAAACTTTAACCAAAGTGTCAAAATTCCCTCTCCCACATCATTTTTAAATGCAGATTAACGTGGCCCATGGAGTGGAACATACAGCCTATTATGGATAAGAAGAGTACAAGCTACATGCAGGATGTGTATATAAAGACACAAATACCATCACTAACCCAATACAGCCTTGGATCGAGTTGGCCCGTACACATGTGACAATGATACAGTCTTTTTGTCGACCTTGAAAACCGTCCACTGTGTCCACTTCACCCGGCCTAGAAGAAAATGCAGATCACAGGGTGAACAAAATGGTCAACAGAGCACATCTGTGTCAGTGACGTGCGGTGCCTCATATTCCGGGTGAGGCATTCCCCCGCGCCGGACGAAGCCCCAACCTGTCCCCAAGCTAGTGTGAAGGCTTTTTGACTACCTGTCAAAAGCCGGATGCAGTCCTGCCTGTAATTAACAGTCAGCGCTTCATCCATGACAGGTTATACAGCGGGGAGGCTTTCCCTGCTCTGTAACCTGTTAGATGCCGATCTGAATGGAGAAACAGCTGTCAGCTTCAGACTTGAAGCCGACAGCTTTTTCCTCCATAATACTAGGCGAGTCTCTGCCTCCCCTGACCGCAAGTCCCTGATCTGTGTCCAGTGTCAGACTTTGCATTTAGGGTACCACATAATGTAAACATGGCCCTATCTACAGATGCACAAAACAAATATGACAAAGCGCACTGCTAGATTATTGGACAATGCCTTAAGAGAAATGTAAGGCCTAAGCCGCATGAGCTATATTGATTTCACAGCAAAAAAGATAGAAAAATCTCCTTCTGCCACTGCAGAGGTTGTGGTCACTTTTACCGGATTGAAGCCCAACTACAGACAAAACCTTTTTTTGCCCTTTTTAGCTTTGGCTAGAGTGTGGAAGGGTTAAAACCTCTCAACGTTTCCTGCTGTGTGTGTCAGCATTTGTGAGATGGGGATATCGTTATTTGGTGTTTTAGACAGTTCAGGAAATGGGACCTGTGGGGATTTCCCCCGTGAGGACACAGACTGCATTACAAACACATTTTCTAGTAGAGTGGAGATTGGAGCCTCTATCAGGGTTTCATTGCTGTTTGTGTGGCCATAGGAGAGGATTCCCCCCTCACTTCCTATCTAGGTGGCAAGTGTAAAACACAACGGGAAGAGAAATCTCCTCTATCGGGACAAAGACAGCATTTAAACATAATACAAGTTCTAACCTTGCTCCTGATCTCCAAAAGATAGGACTCTTGGGACATCACTTTGGCATCCAATATAATCATCCACTATGTGGTTTCCATGGATTTGTTTGTCACTCCAGTGCTGCCAATTAAATTGTAAGTGGATAACAGACCCCAGGCTTGTATTCATTTCAACATTTGTCATTCAAGCACAGTGGTGGCCTGTTCCCATGTTATTCTATGCTGGTTTTCAACCCATGCAATGCAAAATTGCTAAACAATTGTGCCAACACCACCTGTTGGCATGGACAGCCAACTTAAAAGGGAAACTGTAATAGTTTTAACTTTGAATTGTTTGAAGTTATTAAACATTTATTAATTCCGTTTTTAAAACTAAAATCTTTGTTTTATAAATTAATAAGCAGTACAAGATGCTCCAACATCACAGGATTTCCAATGCATCATGAATGTTCGGCAAAGAAAACAGTAGATGCTGTTTTCCTTCAAATACCCTCCTCCCCGCCTGCTGTATTGAGACAGGACATACAATGTTTCAGAAGAAGAGTTACTGCTTTGATTCAGGAGTAAGCACTTGAACTTGAGCTTTTGCGCTCTATAAACAACCAGATTTTGCGGCAATACAGGCAAGGACTAGTCTGACAACCATGTTTAAAAAAGGCGAACCTGTTGGCCTAAAAAGGAAAGTACAAAAATATAAATATGTATACTTTCATAATCATCTTAAAGATATTTTGATAAATATTTTTGAAAAGAGAGATAGAGAGAGAGAGTGAATATGTACATAAAAAGACTAGGGATGCACCGATACTTTTTTCCCGGTACTCGCCGATACCAAAATACCGAGTACTGGAAGTCCCATTCAGGAAGCCAGGCGGCATGTAATGACTCGCCACCTGGCTTCCTGATTAGCCGGGAAGCCGGGCAGCGTGTAAAGACTCGCCACCTGGCTTCCTGATTAACAAGGAAGCCGTCCCATGCTTCTCGTCACTATGTGACGTGAAAGCATGGAGCCGGCTCGCTGGCTAATCATGGAAGCCGGGCGCCGTGTAATGATGCGGCGCCCTGCTTCCTGAGTGGCCGGGAAGCCGGCTCCATGCTCCCTCGTCATGAGATGACGAGGGAGATTTAAGCAGTCTTCCTAACCAATCGGAAAGCCAGGCACCGCATCATTACACGGCGCCAGGCTTCCCGACCAATCAAGAAGCCGTGCAGTGCGTCATTACACGGCTTCCTGATTGGCCGGAAGTCGGCTCCATGCTCTCTCGTCACAAGTGACGAGGGAGCATGGAGCCGGCTTCCCGGACAATCAGGGAGCCGGGCAGCGTGTAGCACGGCTTCCTGATACAGGAAGTATCGGGCTAGGCATCGGAGCCCAAATACTCGGTATCGGCACCGATACTGGTATCGGTGCATCCCTAAGAAAGACTATGTGCTGATCTATACTTTCTCTTTAATTGTGAAGAAAGATTTCAGTTTTCTTCTAGCTAAGCTATGAAAGAGGTCACATAAACCATTTTCTCACATTGCGTTATCACCAAAAGTTTTCTTGAGTTCATTGATGATCTTCATTTTCTGAGCCCGGTACGGGGTGATAATCCCAATATTTCGGAAACCGAATTCTTTTTTCTTGCTTTTAATAAGCTTTATTAGGGCCACCACCATTTTGATTTCCAGTGGGTTGGAGAAGGATCTGTCCCGAGAAAAATCACATTTCAGCTTTATAATAACAAAACAAATCTAATAATGTACAGGAAGTCTGGCTAACAAATCTTGGAGTACAGCTTGGCTACATCATTTTTACCTATGTACACTGCTGGCCTACTCCTGGAACAGGCTACAGAGACAAGATGTCAGAAGATGATGCAGAAGAAAAACCAGTAGAAACACACAAAGGGCCTGCCATTTCAGACATTCTTGCACATTATGGAAAATACGACAAGGAGCAGTAGGAAACCAAAGGCAAGGGGTGCGCACAAGGAGGTCAGGGGGGACTTCTGGAGAGACACTGTCACTTTTTCCTGCATGGGAAAGATCTCTTAATGGTGTGGGGTGCAAAAAGCATAGGCCAGGGTGTCTAAGGCAACCATGTCAAAACTGGTATTTCTGTACTACATGAGTGCCTCTCACGCCTTGTTTGTGGCCCTCATTCATTTGGGATTTTTTTAAATTATTATTTGTGTTAAGAATTTAAATTCAATGACCACCCCCTAAGCATCCACCACGTTCTCCCCTTCCAGATCAGGGATATCCAAGAACCACTTAAGTACAGGTCCACCAAACTGAATTTGAAAGATGTGCCTTAACTATCTGAAGAAGTAATTAGGTAAACCAATCTTGGCTTTAACATGTTAAAACTCATCAAAGAGAAGTCGTGAACTATATCTCCCAAAGTCCTAATCCCCTTCAAAGCCCATAATTGTTGGAAATGGAGTAAAAGAAGACCAATCAAAGTCATTAGGATATAAGAGAGAACATGCCTGGATAAGGCTAGCTGCCTCCAAATGTATCACCGTCATCTCTCTTGTGCATTATCACTATTTGACTATATTTCCTAAAATCCATTAGAGCCAATCCCCCAAATCATTATATGATTGAGTTCATAACGGGTCTCATCAGTAACACTGCTGTATTTATGCTAGAAGACCTATAAACACCAAGGATAGGGTGAGAAATTCCACATTTATAGAATATGCAAGCAGTATATTTTTGATGACTTTGCTGTGTCTGCATTTCTTTATTATTATTGATGGCACTTACTCTTTCTTTTTTATT